GCCCTTCTTGGCAGGTGGCTGGGTACCAGAGAGCCCATACCTGAGCCTGACTGGCGGCCACAGCAGGAGAGCTCCCACTCAGGCTCCCGTGGGTGGAAGCTTCACAGAGGCAGGTACCATTTGCTTTTTCCAGTGCGGCAACTCGGGCACCTAGCAGTTTGCCTGGAGCGCAACAGGTGAAAGAATGAATGAGGGAATAAACAAATCAGAAGCACCTCGTGGACCTTTGTGGTCCCATGAGGCTGGTGCCTCGAACCTTCTCCGCCCTCATATTTGTCATATTGACTTCATGGAGGACGCTCGCTGTGTCCATGGAGCATGGAGATGAGACATGAGGCCAAGGTTGTGGTTGGAGATCCACAGAATGGGAGAAACAGCCACTGGAAGACCTAGACATTTGTCCCATGAGGGATGAATGGAGGGAAATGGCTCTTGTGAGCTGGGAAAAAAGCAACGGGTCTCCATACACTTCTTTCTTTCCTGCAACCCCACTCCTACACATCAAGTTAAAAGGGGGCATCGAGGTGAATTTTGAAAGAGAAGCATTTGAACTTATTACCTTCAGAGGCAGTCAGTCTGGGAAGAATGGGGATTGAGCCCCATATTTCGAGGCAAGGAAGAAGAAGAAACAAAGAATAAAAGCAGCTCAGTGTTGTTGCTGGGCGTTATGAAAATGTGTTACAGACACATCTCACGTTAGAATAAACCCGTTAGCACAAGCAGAATGTCTGCTATAGGTTCTATAGGGAAGCAGGAATCAGAGAACCAGACAAGTCTTCAAGAAAAGCCCCACCAGGGATAAGCAGTCACCATCTGCTTGTTCTCACTGTAGGAAGCATGTTTTGCTTTCTCGTACCTTGAGATCTTTGCATTTAGAGTTTTCTCTCCCTGCAATGACAAGATTTATCTTTCTAGAAAACTCCTATTCAGCCTTCAAACTTTACTTTTCATTTCATCTCTCACCCCCAAAATGACCGCTTTTCCCAGGAATTGCCATTGCACCTTGAACTTCTACCATCGTCATATATATGATTTAACACTCTGGTTGAACTTGTTACCCATCTGGATAGATAGATGGATACCTTGCTCGACCATGAGTTCCTGGAGGCCAGGATCCTATCCTACTCATCTTTTGTCTCTCCAGTATCTGGCATGAAGTTGTCCTCAATGCATGTTTCTCAGACTGAAGGAAATAATAAAAAGAAAAGGAAAAACAACGATTACAGGCCTTGTCCAATTGGAACATCCAATGGGGACGCGTCTATACGGGGAAACCCGAGTTGTTGTAGGGAGTTGAAAACTATTCCCTGAGTCAGACTTTCCAGGTCATGGGCAGTGGGGATGACCACAAGTCAACGCTGGGTGAGAGCTACCCCATCATTCCAGAGGCCCTCTCGGGGAGCAGGGAGGCTCACAGGCGATTGGAGACTTGTTTATATCAAATAAGCACTTGCTGGAGTATTCAAAAATCAGCAGGTTCCAACTTGAACTTTCCAGAGAAGTTACGGCCATATATCCTACATTTGGTGTAAGAGTGTGGGCCGCTAGACTAGGATTCAGTCTGCCCCTTGATGAGAGACCCACTGGAACCACTGGGGCGCTCATGTCAGCAGGACCATCGGAACTTTGGGAAGACAAGCTGTCCCTCATCCCACAGCCGGGTGTCTCTGGGCTGCTACCTGAGCAGACTGGTGAGCAAAATGAAATAACAATGGTATTTACCGCTGTTAATTAACAGCAAGGTGTTCATGAGTAATGTTGTGGTATTAAGGGCGTGGTGCAGCTTTTTCATTACTGACTCCCTCCTTTGTAGGGTTATAAACTCCAGAAGAGATGTTCCCTCCTGGCTGAAACTTGGCAGCTGGCCTGAGGTTCTTCCCTGTGGCTGGTGCTGGACCTGCCCGCTCATCAGCCTGTTGAGATCTGCTTCCACTTCCCCAGCAGTTACTGGAAAACTCGCCATTGGAAGCCACTCGCACTACAACACTGACGTATGAAGCTCCAAAAGCAAAGAATTCAATAAGGAGGTGGGCGTGCTGTAGAAATGTCCAAGTCCATCTGAAGTCACCCCTGAAGCCACTAGGAAGCAGTCCGTGTGTACACACGGCTGTCTTTGTACAGCAGGGAGGTGCAGAAGTGTTAAATCAAGAACAAATCTGCTGTTCTCATGACCCAAGACTCAACATTTCTTTTTTTTTTTTTTCTTAAAGATTTTATTTATTTATTTGACAGAGACAGAGATAGCGAGAGCAGGAACACAAGCAGCAGGAGTGGGAGAGGGAGAAGCAGGCTTCCCCTCGAGGAGGGAGCCTGATGTGGGACTTGATCCCAGGACCCTGGGATCATGACCTGAGCCGAAGGCAGACGCCTAACGACTGAGCCACCCAGGCGCCCAAGACTCAACATTTCTAGCAAAAGCCCTCCGAGGGTTGCCGCAGATGAGAGGAGATATTAAGGAATGAGCTGGGGGTGGTGCATCTTTTATTTGGATTACGTTTATAAGTTATAACATGCTCTGGCTTCTCATTCCCTGGGCAATTTTCACATCTCACTATGTCTTGCACTTTATGCTTTCCACTGCCTTTTCACAAACAATATTTCATCTTAATGTTCTTCCCTCCAACAACCTTCTGAAGTGGGCGACAGGAGGGATTCTTACTCTGGTTTCACAGATAAAGAAATTGAGTTTCAGAAAATCCAAATGACTTTCCCAGATGCATATGACAGTGTCCAGATTCAAACTCAAGCCTTCTGATGCCCAGCCCAGTGCTCAGACTTTCCACCCTAGCCTGGACCCTCTTCCTGCAAAGCTGACCAGCAAATGGGCTGATGGGAATGGATTATGAATTTCCTTCTGGGAAAGGAGAGTTGCTCAATGAGCTATGATTCTCTTTTGCTTAAACGTAAGAGAAACCTGGTTCAGCTTGGCTTGGATTTCCAATGGTTAGGGACCCAGAAGCAAAGGCCCTTCTGAATTCTCTCAGCCAGAATACGAGGCCAGAGAAAGAAAACCAAGGGCAGATGCTCCGGAGACCATGGCCAGATCCCTACACCCCAATCAGACAGGAGCTACACGAATGTAATCTTCTTAGCCCCCAAGTCCTTAAAAAGCAGTAGTACGATAAAAGAAACCAACAAATTAGTAACCCATTACCTACAGATTTTAATTAGTAATGAAAACTAGACCCAACATGAACTCCTCTCTAGAAATTCTTTCTGTTCCAACCACCTGGCAGAGACACTCACTCCAATCTGGGAATGTTTTCAAGAGGCTGGCAACAACCAGCTCAACCTGTCCCATCCTCTAAGACAAAGACAAAAAAACCCTTGGATGAGCCACCGAAGCCCAGCCAATGACTCCAGCAGAGCTCAGAGATCCGTGGAAAAGTGACAGGGCGTTGGTCACAGTTGTCTCTGATTTCTTAGCAAATCTTGGCTGAACCATACAGAAACAAACAGACAAAACCAAGAACTACACCTCATGTACATACTTGGAGATTTAAAGGCTACTCTTGATTATCTACCTGAACAAAGTTTAACTAACACAGAGTCTATGAAGAGGTAGTTTTGTTGAATTTTGAGATCAACGACATATGCTTTATTTTGCAATGGCTTCTCTACCTGTTTAGAGTTGCTTTGGCTCCCATTTATACTACTGTGCATCATTCGATCATGTGTTAGCTGTGCAATGGAAACGAGGAGATGATGAGTGGGGGGAATATGGACTGAATATGAAGGATGGGGCATGGAGATTGCACACAGGAAGAATCTGCATAGTATATAACTCTTGGCTCTTTCTCCCGGGGGTTTTCCTTTCTGAGCCAGGAGGGGAAGGAGCATCCTAGAATTAACTTTAATGCCTCCCTGGATTCGGGGAACTGTCTCAGCTGCTGCTTATCTTCTGTCCCTCCACAACTGCTCCTACCCTGAGGTGATGTGGCTGGTGATCCACAGAGGTGACGGGTGAGGGTTGGTGCTCTCCCCATCCCCCTATCAGTTGGAGCAATCCACAAGGTAAGGGGACGCAGACATCCCTCCCTGCCCTGGGACCCTCTGCCTTTCCGGTCTTCCCCGATCCATCTTGATCATTGACATTTTTTGAACATCCACATTTTTTCACTGAAGGATCAGGAAGATTTCAAAGAGCGATACTGGGGACTTCGCCTTCCTTATTTCCTTATACCATACCAAGATGAAGAGGTATTACAGAACTCAGGAAAGTAGAGATCCCACGTGGAGATTCCTCTTCTCCTGACCCATCCCTTTCCCCGTCTTCCTTATTCTGCCATAGAATCCTCCAGAATGCACCCCATACCCTTTCCTCAAGAAATCCACCCTTCCCCTTCCTTCCTACTTAGATCTAGCGCATGTAGCATTCTACTAGATGCTAATGAGGATCTCATCTATGTGCGTTTGGAAACTCAAGGAGATGAGTCCCAAGAGCTGAGTAGAAGGTGGGAGCTCAAGTTTACATCACGCTTTCTTCCATAGGAAGCGGCCACTGATATACGCACAAGTTACCTTCGAGGCCAGCGACATTGTATTTTTCTCAGAGATGCCCCATCTGGTCTTACATGAGGAACACAAACCCCTCCTAATAGCATGGCTTAGATTTTTTCCTTCTGAAAATAATAATCCTGGAATTATTATATTAAAATATGCTGGATCCCAGAGACTTACTTATACAACGAGAGTATATTAGGAGCGGATAACACACATTAGGGCTGGGTGGTAACAGCTGCAGTTAGGTAGTGCTCGCGACAAAATCTTTCCTCCGTTTATCTCACTGCAAACTGATCATTGAGAGGTGGTTTTATAGGGTCTTCTTTCTAGGAACAAAGCTTGCCTTGAGCTCCTCCTCATGATGACATGAGATAGAAGTAGAAGGAACCACTAAAAGAGTTCTGGAAACTTCCCCTCTTGTGTGATATGTGTCATATAACTGCAAAATAACAGCAAACAAGAGGTGAGGGTTTTAACAGGGGAGGGCAGCTACTCACATAACTTGATGGAAAAATTGGCTTTTTCTGTGGAAGAATGGATGTAGGAGGGATGTGCATTAAAAAAAAAAAATAGTCGCTCATTTAGCCAGCCAGATCATTCAGATAAACCCTGTGATCAGTGGGTGACAGATCATTCTCACATCTGTAAACAGATACAAATAGATTACACAACACAGCACAAATAAATCAAAATCAGTTGGTCTTTTCAATCAACCACAAGAGTATAGAGCCAATGGGGAAAGCCCATGAGAATCTGATCCTCCCCTTTGAAGACTCCACCCACAAAAAGCAATGCTTGTGAGAAGAGTAACTATCCGATGCAGTCGTGTGATGTACGTCTTATCTCAAAGCCCTTCACTTCTTGAAAATTTTAACCTCCCAGTCTTTGTGAGGACATTGTAATCTCTAGGTTTCGAGTGATTAAATGGATGGTAAGGGTAAGTGGTCTCCTATCTAACTGAGGGTATGTCCAGGATTATAATCCTGTCACTGAGACTTGAGTTCTTCCTCTCCTCCCAGAACATAAGGTTCTGTTTAGTTCATGCCATCTCGATCATTCCTTTTCCAAGGAGAATAAGGTCCTTCCCAAACCATACAATGGGAAATACCAATCTGGAACTGCCTTGACCTCTTGACCTGTGGGTGTTGATAGGCATTTGTCAGATGAAGGTGAAAGAGAGGGGTGCCCGTCACCCCCTCTTTGCTCTGTGGTGCGGGCATGTCAGCCTCTGCTATACCAGGGGACAGGGTTGGACAGGTTGCTTGGGCTTCAGATTTCAGACTCTTCACTTTTTCACTTTTCTTCTTAGCATGTAGGCTTGAGAACTGACAGCAAGACAGAAAGGGGTAAAGTGCTGGAGGCAACATGGGAAGTTAGAAGTTGAAAGATACCTAAGAGAGCCTGAAGGAGAGTCAGGAAGGGTGAAGGTAGAAAGCTCAAGGGGTCAGATGCAGCTAAGAGAACAATATGGTGTCATGGCCGCGTCAGTGGTTGACCAGGGCACACACGAAGCCTTAAAAAGGAGGGAGCGCATGAGGGATTCAGATGGAAACCACACATGAGAAAAGTAAGAGAAAAAAGTAAGTCTTATCAAAAGGGGGAGAGTCAATACTGGCTATTGAAGAGTATGTGTTCTGTCTTGGATGAAAAATAGCATTTACTGAACTAATGACCTGTGTAATTAAGCTCCAATGGCTAAAAATAAGTGAAAATTTAAAACTGTCTTGAGCTCTGGAGCAGAAGAAAGTAAAGAAGAGGTGCCAGGAAAGATGCCTCATCAATAGTGAGGCTGATTGAAAGCAAGACCAAATGATTCAGGACTACATTAGAAGAGGGAACTCTGACTCCATTTATTACTGGATAAAAGGCTGAGATGACCTCCGATGGTCCTCTTGAATTCTGGCCGCTGGTCGCTGTGTGTAGGAGACAGCTTCTTCTAGGCAGGCATTGAACCCTACAGTGAGATGATGTTAAAAGCTGAATTGTCAAGTTCAATTTTCTCAGTATAATGATGAAGAAGGGTGCAAAATTTGGAGTCAGAGACTTGGGTTTAGTTCCTGAATCTTTCACTCCCTGTGTGATCTTGGGCAAGTTACTCGAACTCTCTGAGCCTCCCTTCCCCACTGTTCATGACATAAAATGATAACACTCAACACACAGTATTGTTGTAAACATCATGCTTATAGACTATGAGTAAAAGTATTCAGTGCTAGAAAATACTTTGTAAATGATACTTTGTAAACGTCGATATTCTTTAACTCAGAACATGAGACTGAAGAGGTGAAATAATGTTCAAGCGACTAGTGAATAAAATAGTCAAGAACATAACTTGATTCTCTTAGCTAATGCTTCTTGCTAGTTGAGAGCTAGTGACTCAAGGGTGTTTATAAATGTTATAATACAGTGAATTCATTGAGATTTTCCTTTTTTCCATCTGGATTGAGCCATGAACAAACCCCAACTCAATTTCCAAGGCATTTGTTGCCTTCCCATCAATCCTGAGAGTGGAGAAAAAGAGCGCTTTCCCCAGAGACCAATATGGCAGCTTCCCAGTGGCTGTGGGAGCTCTCCATTCATCTCGACAGTGAGGAGGTGGCAATAGGCAGCATGGGGAAGGCATGCCAGCATGCTCACAGAAAGCCTATCAAGGTCAGAACAGACATCTTCAGGGGCACAGCCAGCCACTGTGGGGCCAGGAGGCTGGGACCATCTTAGGAAAGAAAATGGGACCCGTCACTTGCACAGACTCTCTCCTCCATCAGCTCCTCACGAGACTGCCTTGTGTCACCCAGAATGCCAGCTAAGCCATAAATCCACCCATTGGGTGAGCCCCAGCAACCTGTCCAACCCTGCTGGGAAACAACACATCCGGCCCTTGATGGCACTCTCATGACTGTTTGGCTGAGAAGTGGTATTTTAAATAAAGAGAGGGAAAAAACGCCCTATTATTTTACTCTGGTAATTGACAACAAGTTTCTCCTGAGTAATTTTATAGCACTCAGGGTGTGCCAGGGGTTTGATTTCACTTCTCTTTACAGGAGCCTCAAACTTGCAGTACAAACACTATTTTGAATGGAATGAGACATGCTTCAAAAATCTATATGGACACTGTCGAGACTTTAGTTGAAATACCTTGATCCTGCGGCCCACTAAAAACTTATGTCATTGCTTCTTCTTTCAAATTCCACTTTGGGAAAGAAAAAACATCTGAAGCTTGGGATCCTGAAAGATCTCAACTAAGAAAAAAAGAACCTAGATGTTTTAGCACAACTCTAGTATACATATTTTTTCCTTACAATTCTATATCCTAGCAACTAGTGAGTGATTCCCAAAGTGGAGTATGCAGAAAATTAGTTCCCTGAAATATTCTTTAAAAATGGGTGGGGAGTGATTCCTGCAATCACATGTAATTGGGAAACGCTGCCTATATGATACTGGTTCTAGCAATTCACAATACATGTTCGTGTGATAAAGGCTCTGAGAAGTCCTGCGGAAAGAGAGCCTTGCTCTTTGCTGTTTTGAACACAGAATTCCCAAAGGAAGTAGAACACAGTCTTCCCGTACAAGAAATTACATATACAAACACATTCCACCACTTGATAATGTCACAGTGATATTTGATCCCACCAAGTGAGAATTTTGAGGAACAGATTTTGAGAAACCCTGAGCTAAAAGAGAAGGAAGGAGGTATGGTAGGGGGCTTAGGAGTAAACCATATCTTACTTGACTTTGGTCTTTGTACCCCAATACCTCGATTATTCATTCAACAAACATTTATTGAGAATTCAGTATGGGTAACGGGCATGGGAGATGCAAAGATAAATCAGATACAAAGAAACAAGTTAATACAGCACTGTTGAAAGAGAATGTGATGGATAGATTCCAAAGATCTAGTTCCACCTCTTTTCTAGCTAGATGAGGAAAATGAGACTCAGAGAAATTGCATGATTCATCTCTGGATGTAGAACACTGAGGCACCTCTTCTACGCTGAAGCCCCTTCTCTTAGAACACCAACATGACTAGAATAAACATTTAACCCAGAGGAGGAAAAATGGTTCTAGATACCAGTGCCACAAGTTAAAGGCATCTGCAAATGCCCTCAAAGTGGGGGGTCTCTAGCTGCGTAAGTTTTAGAGAAGGGGCAGAAATTAGGATGGCGTATTTCCAGGAAAGACATCAAGAGGAAATTTGATAAGCCAGATGTCCGGCGTTGAGGAGGAAATTGGACACTCCAAATCTGGTCTCTGCATTGAGAGGAAACAGGCCTGTGGTGGCTACATTCAAGGCCACTCACTGGGTTCCTTCTGGGATTCAGTGGCCATGAGAGTTCCCCAGCGTTTATGAGAGACACTGTTCTCGTTCTGTCGTGCTGGGTACCCGGTGGGCTCACTGTGTGCTCACAATAAGAGCTCTCCGTGGGTTTGGTTTGGTTTTCTCCCCTGCTTTTAGGGATGAGTGCTCAGTGTAGAGTGTTAGTTCAGTAATGTGATCTTTCTTCTTTCCAGCCACGGAGAGCTCATTCATTCTTAGAGCTTTGATTATAACCTGTGTGCGTGGTTCCCATGTTTGCAGGTCAAGTTCTACACTTCCACCCAAGCTTCCCGTTGGGTATTTTCATTAGTCTCTACACTTTCTCCTGTGACCCTTTACCTATCTGGATGATCTTGCCTCAAACCCTGCTCTCCTCCCAGTGTCCCTGTTTCCTTCCATCCATTTTCCATGGTTCCCCATCCCCTCCCCGGCACTCAGCTTTGAAGGCACAGAACTTCTCTCTCCTCTCTACTTCCCACAGGCAATAAGTAACTAAAACGTGCCCTTTCTTCCTTGAAATGTCTCATGTATCTATCTTTTCCTTCCCTTTCTATTTGCTACCCACACAGAAGAGGTCTTGCCCGCTGTGGTTGGACCACCAGTCTCGTAACTCCCGGCCTCTGTTCTCTCCCTGCTCCGGTCCTCTCACCGTCCCAAGCGTTCCTCATACCAGCCGGGAGCACTAGTTTGTTGAAATTAAAACAAAACCACACTGAAACAAGCACGCTCAGGATGTTATATATTCTTTAAATTTATACATTTATTTTAGAGTGGGGTAGGGAGAGAGTCAGCATGGGGCGGGGCAGAAGGAGAGGGAAAGAAAGAAATCCCCATGCAGACTCCCAGATGAGCAGGGATTCCAGGACCCTGAGATCATGACCTGAGCCGAAATCAAGAGTCGGACGCTTAACCAACTGAGCCAGCCAGGCGCCCCCCGGGATGCCATATATTTAGTAAGTTCCCCCAGGTAATCCTGATGTTCTGCCATGATGAAAAACCCTTTGCACCCAGTGGGCGTTCAAAGGGTGGTGGTCTCTGTGGTCACGGTATCTCTTGGGACACATTCTCAGTCTCCTCATCAGCCACAAGTAGCCCCCACCTGTTCCCTGTTTACCACATGCCAGACATCTGCTCAGCACTCGATGCCAGCGCGATCGCATACCTACCACAATACCCTATTCGTAGACGAGAAATCTTCTGCCGTCCACATCTAAAATCCTTATCAGCAAGTGATTCCCCATCTCTCCCATCAGCAGGAAGGACAAATCACATTTGAGCTCTTTAAAAATCTTCATTTGCATATACCTTGTCCCCTTTACCTATTTGAACATCCGTGGAAATAATCAAGTAATTGGGGAAAGAGGGAGACGTGAAAGAAAGGCACGCCCCTGTCAGACACAATGGGAGGTCGCAGGTGGAAAAAGCATGGAAAGGGCTGGAACAGAAGCGAAACTGCTTATTTCAGACCTGGGCGCTGCCCATCAGCACCCTGGGATGTGCTGTTAACATCAACCTCAAAGCCAACCAAATGGTTTAGCCTCCTTTTGCACTCTGAAGAAAAGTGTTAGAGACCACCCCCCCGCCCCCGCAACCCAGGCTATTGCAACAGGACCTCGTTCAGACCCCACCCCAGCTCACTCCCCTAATGGCTATCCACTCTGCGGGCCCTGCTAAGCACCTGCCTCCACCCCAGCCAGCCCCCAAAACGGCAAAATCAGCTGAGGGGTGGTGGGATTACTGCAAATGAAGTAAAGATAATCCCAGGCAAGGACCTTTTATCCTGGAAAAATCTCCATCTAGCCGTCATCATGGCTCTGCACAATCTCCTCTTAATAACTCCAAGGCCGGAACGTTGCAGAGATTAAACCTGGTGAGGAATTTGATGCTTTGTAGCCCTGACGTGGAGTGCTCTGAGCCAGAGAGGGAGGGGCAGGTGGAGGGCGGGGGAGAGTGAAGAAGAGGAGAGGAAAGCAAGACAAAAGACAACATACTCTGCAATCTTTCTGCTAAAAGCCTTTGTTCCGCCAGGACGTTATTTGGTGATCTAGACAAGGCATAATAATGTACTGTACCTGCTCGGTTTATTACGTGTGTGTGTCATGGGTGTATATGCATATTACGGACTCTAAAATATATAGACTACGTGCCAGAGAGAGAGGCTAGAATGCAAATACTTCTGACTCAGTGAGAGTTTGCTTTCTCTTGGGCAAGCCAGCCTTTGGGCACCCTGTGATGATCATCTCCAGCCAAGCAGTGATTTTGAGAAAGAGGCCATTTCATAAAGTAGAAATAATTAAAACATGAGAAAATAAAGAATGACTACTTTAATTCTTGCTTTCAAGAACCCGGACAAAGAACAAGCCAAAAGATTCTCCTTGCCACCTAGTGTCAGTTTATTTTCTGGGAGGGCAGTGAGGGAGGGGTGAGGGTGGGGTGAGAAATTGACCAGCATATTACTGAAGAGAAACATTACTGCATATTCACTTCCTGTTTGCGGACCTGCTAGAGCAAACTGGCTTCGTGGCTGTTTTCTGAAACGTGTTCTCTGTTAATGAAATATTCATGGGGGATCTTCCACAGTAGAATTAAAAAAAAAAAGCTGGGGCTTAAACAAACCAAGGTTCAAATCTTGCCTCTGCCCC